GACACTAAATAAAATGTCAGGTCTAGAAGCAGTTAGGTATACCAGAGAGCCAGTCATACCTCTATATAACTTTTGATCTACCTTACCACTCACCTCATCCTTCTCAAGGATACATGTAGAATGCATTTGAGTCTTAGACATCTTACATTATGACATGTTAAACTTCTTCAGAAGTTCTTTGGTGTACTTGCTTTGATGGATGTACGTTCCTTCTGGGCTCTAATTTTTTAGAATCCCCATATCAAACTTGAGCTCTCCCATCAGACTCATCTCAAACTCTGCCTGTATAGACTTAGCAAAATCCTTGCACAAAGTAGCATTAGCAGAAATATGATATCATCAACGTAAATCTGTACGACAAGAATATCATTTTTGAATGTCTTACAGAAAAGAGTTGTATATACCTTCCCTATGGAGAAATCATTTTCAAGAAGAAAATTGCCCAATCTTTCATACCATGCTCTGAGAGCTTTCTTGAGACCATATATGATTTCTTAAGCTTGAAAGCAAAATCTGGATTTTTAGAGTTTTCAAATCCATGGGTTTGATGTACATACACTTCTTCAGTAATGTAGCCATTCAGAAATACACTTTTAACATCCATCTGATAGAAGATGATGTTATGATAACAACAAATGAAATTAAAATATGAATTGACTCTAACCTGGAAACCGGTGCAAAGTTTCAATATAATCAATCCCTTTTTGTTGACTATAACCTTGTGCAACCAGTCGAGCCATATTTCTTACTACCTCTCCTTGTTCATTCAACTTGTTTATGAAGACCCACTTAGTTCTAATAACATGAGTTCCTTTGGGTCTTAGCACTATATCCCACACATCATTTCTAGAGAATTGATTGAGTTTTTCTTGCATAGCCAGAATCCCTTCTGAATCTTGAAGTGCTTCACCAATTGATGTAGGCTCTATTAGAGACACCAAACCCATAAGGGTTTCTTTAGAGGGATTGAAAGAGGATTGGGTTCTGACAGGTTCAGTCTTGTCTCCTAGAATTAATTCTTCAGAGTGTGAAGATCTTTGTTTGCGCCTTTTCAGAGGTATAGGGCTTCAACCGCTTCTGGTTGAGGAGCTTTAGAGTCTTTGGTCTCAGTTTATTTTTCTTCTCGAGTCTTTTCTTCAGAAGTTAAATAAGTGATCTCCACATCTGCAAATTTCTCAACTAGCTTTGATTTTTCAGAGTCAAGCTTATCATCGAATATGACATGGATTGATTCTTCAATAATCTGTGTCTCAGTGTTATATACTCTATAGCCTTTTGATCATTCAGAGTATCCTAACATGATGCACTTTTGTGTTTTAGAATCAAACTTGCCAAGATTCTCTTTAGTGTTCAATATAAAACAAGAGCATCAAATGGGTGGAAATAAGAAATGTTGGGTTTTCGATTCTTCCATAATTCATAAGAAGTCTTACCCATGATAGATCTTATCGAAACCCTATTATAAATATAACATGTTGTATTAACTACCTCTGCCCAAAAGTGTTTGGCCATATTAGTCTCGTTGATCATGGTCCTTGCCATTTCCTGCAAAGTCATATTCTTCCTCTCTACAACTACATTCTGCTGTTGGAGTTCTAGGGCAGGAAAAATCATGGGAAATTTCATTCTCATTAAAGAGTTTTTTAAAATCTTTTTTTTTTTCGTATTCACCACCATGATTACTTCTGACTTTTACAATTCTGAGACCTTTCTCATTTTGCACTTGGAGTAGAAGGTAAAAAAACACAGAGTGTGACTCACCCTTGTGTCTGAGAAATTTCACCCATGTCCAACAACTATAGTCATTAATAATGACTAGTTCATACTTCTTACCATTGACAGAAACAATTTTCACTGGTCCAAACTGGTCAATATGAAGAAGCTCCAATGGTATAGAGGTTGAAACAACATTCTTAGCTTTGAAAGAAGTTTTAAAAAACATACCTTTCTGACATGCTTCACAAAGAGCATCTGAAGCAAACTTCAGATTTGGCAGGCCTCTGACTAGATTAAGGTTGTTGAGTTGAGAAATCCTCCTTAGGCTAACATGACCCAATCGTCTATGTCATGTCCATTGCTCTTCATTAACAGACATAGGACATTTTACATTCTAACTCTTCAAATCATAAAGTTTTATCTTATAAATGTTGTTCTTCCTCTTTCCATTAAAAAGAACTAAGCCATCCTTTTGACTGACAGCTTTACAAGACTTCTGATTAAAAATAACGTCATAACCATTGTAATTTAATTGATTTACGGACAATAGGTTATGCATTATACCTTCAATAAAAAGAACATTAGTAATGGAACGAAGATTATTGTTACCTACAGTTCTAGAGCCAATGATCTTCCCTTTCTGATCACCTCCAAAACCAACGACGCCTCTAGGCATTCTTCCCGTCATGCGTCGCGAGCATCCAGAGTCCAGGTATCATGACTAGCGTCTTAACTTCGTTGCTAAGGATATCTGCAACATAAATTGTTTTGTTCTTAGGTACCCACATCTTTTTGGGTCCTCTTGGGTTAGTCTTCCTAGAGTCTTTTACAAATTTAGGTTTTTGTGCAGGATATTTATACATGAATGCATGATTAGAACGTGCATGAGTTTTTGTTTTAGCCTTAGGTTTTGCTATAGTTTTACCTATAGGCCTAACATCATTTTCTTTCCTAGAGGGAACATAATGAGATTCAAGAGTATTGGGCTTATCATCTATTTCAGAATCAGATTCTTCATCAGAATCATAGCCAATACCTCTTGTCACGCTCCTACTAATGCCATAAATCATGGAAGCCATTAAGCTTCGATTCAGGCTTTTAGCAAGAAACTTATGAAAAGATTTATCATACTTCTGTATGATATCAGCAGAACCTATAGAGGCTTTAGAACTGATTTTTCTTCCAGGTTTGAAACTCTTGCTTGGAGACATAAAGTTGTTTTTCAAAACGAGATTTTCTTTACTCAAACTTGAAAAATCTTTCTGAAGCTTGCAGTAAGCTTCTGATTCAGATACATGAATCTTCTTTAGATCCTTGTATTTTTCCAGAAGATTCTAATATTTTTCCAGAACCTCAGATAAGTTGGATTCGAGCTCAGAACGAGAGAGTTCATAAAATACCTCTTCAAAATTAGACTCAGATTCTGATTATGATTGACTTGTTTCTGAAGGAGCTTCTGTAAAAGCCATTAGAGCTACATTTGCCTGCTTTTCTTCGGAGTCATCTTCAAAAGATTATAAATCGTCCCATATAGCCATAAGACCCTTCTTCTTTCTACATAAGTCTTTCTTCTTGGGTCTATCATTCTTCAGATTGGGGAAGTCATTCTTATAATAATCTGCCACCTTGAATTCATATCAGATGACTTCTTTACAGGCTCTAGCTTTCTTGAATCCAGAAGTAGACTCAGAACAACCATTTGTCCTTCTTTGTCCTCTAAATTTTCCTTGCATTTTCTTCCAGAGTCGATTCACCCGTATGAAAATGAGAGACAATTCATTTTCTTCTTTCGATTCTTCTTCAAACTCTTCATCGGTATCAGCTTGAAGAGCTTTAGTCTTCTCAAATCTTCTTGAAGATTTCAGAGCGACAAACTTGATCTTTTTCTTGGGCTCATCTTTTTCGAACTCAATCTCATGGCTTTTCAAAGAACTAATCAGTTCTTAAAGAGAGGTGTTGTTGAGATCCTTTGATAACTTCAGAGCAGTTACCATTGGTCTTCAACGCTTAGGTAGACTTCTGATGATCTTTTTGACATGATCAGAAGTAGAATACCCTTTGTCCAAAACCTTAAGCCCTGTGAAAAGAGTTTGAAATCTTGAGAACATGTTCTCAACATTTTCTTCGTGCTCCATCTTGAACGCTTCATATTTTAGAATTGAGGCAAGAGCCTTGGTTTCTTTCACTTATGTGTTCCTTTCATGTGTCATCCTCAAAGAATCAAATATAGATTTAGCAATATCTCTATTGGTGATCTTCTCATACTCAATGTATGAAATGACATTTAGCAAGATGGTTCTTGCTTTGTGATGATTCTTTTATTGATCTGTCATCACTCTTCTTTTAATTTTGTTGCCACTAGCATCTACTGGGTGCACGTAGCCATCGACTACCATGTCACATAGATCAACATTGTGACCTATGTATATCCCTAATTTTTTAAAAATAAATTATCTCAATAGCATTACATAAATTTACATAGAAAAAAAATTAAATGTACTTGAAACTTTACGAATAAAAAATGAAAGGAATTTATTTTTAAAAAATTCAACATATTTATGTTTACTCTACTTGATTTAGGTTTGAATAAGTGAATTTTTACTTTTAAAATAATCAACTTTAAAATAAAAAACTCAAATAAAAACATTTCATAAAATTTAACAAACTAACCACTTTTCAAACAAAAAAATATCATCACATAAAGGATGCGTCAATGCACTCTAACTTGATCTTAAATGTCGGTGTCTGTAGCACATACACTCTAACTTGATCTTAAGTGTCGGTGTTGTAGCACATGCACTCTAATTTGATCTTTAAGTCATGTGTCATCACTCATAACTCATATATATATATATATTATAAATAGGTCATTCTCTCCCCTACCATTTGCTACTCATATTCTAATTCTCTCTTTATAAATAGTAACATGTAAAAGACATTTTAAAAGAAAAAAAAATTAAGGAGAAAATTAGAAGTTGATTATTTCTTTTAAAAAAAATCTGAATGTGTAGTTTAAAATAAAATATTATAAATATAAGATGATTAATCATATTTATCAAAATAAAATATATTAATTATAATTAAAATTTCAATAAAAAAAAACAAATAAATGTACATCGGCGCATCTCGCATATCCTAATCTAGTTGTATACATATTAATAAGCGCTTCAGGATCACTAAGGAATTAGAAGAATAAGAATGTGAATTTCTACTAAAAAATTATTAACCAAGCAAATACTCTCTGAATAAAGGAAAGGAAAATAAAAATATGTCAATACTCAATACTATTGTCCATTGTTTTTACTCTGCCAATACTCATCTTCCCAACTTTCTACTTGTTTTGTTGAATTTGCTTTTCTATCTAAAATTTTTTGTAAAGTTAAAGGATCATAGGGAGGAGGAAGAGTGCATGGATTTGAATCACTAGGAACCTTCTCCAAGGACTCTTCCATAAACCTTCTTCTGTTACCATTTTCATCACATGCCATTAATTTTTCAGCACAAAACTCCACAGCTCCGCGCGGTATTTTTGGCTTGAATCTTAAAAGCTTTGCGTATTCATTTAGCAAATGAAACATGTAATTGTATACATTTTTCATGTCCAAGTCCTCTTGTATGAATTTGCTACCCGCCTCTCCAATCGCATGTGCCTGTAAAATAGAGAAATAGAGAAATTATGGATTTGGATTCTCTCCTTTTTTATATATCATGTCATCTCTAATGTTTCTAACATCTTTCATGTTTCTAATCTAACAGTTCAGAATTTATAATAAATAATTAAATAAAAAAAGTTATTTAATAGGATAGAGAAATAGATAAGTAATTTGTCTTTGTTATTTTTAGAATTTATTCATTATAAATTCTGAACCGTTACATTAGAAACATGAGAGATGACATGATATATAAAAAAAGAAGAGGATCCAAATCCAGAAATTATGCATCATCAAAGTTATAGTAAAAATAAAAGCATAGTTCTGTGTTTGTACCTTTTGAGTGTGATTGTTGCCCCATTCTACAGCAAACTTGAGAGATGAACATTTACTATTGTCTCTAATAGGCCAATAGTGTTGTAATGGCATCATGTCTCTCATGAAAAAATCATGGTAACGCGATCTTACGTATAATGTCATTGAATCGCATGCCATAATATACTTCTCACTAACTGACCAAGCCCAGCCTTCTATGTATATCTTGTATCTGTTATGAGTCAAAAACAATTTATACATATAAGCGTGTAAGGTATAAAGAGGAATCGAATCTGAGACCTAGAGAAGAGCACACTCATTGATCACGAGCCATCACCGTGTTACTGATATTACCGGTTTCTGGTTTCTGGTCAATGAGTTTTAACTGTTAATATCTACATAAAGTTGTATAGTCAAATTTATTCATGTACCTATGAGTGCATTGATCTCCTAAACTAGATTTCTTGAAACCTTGATTTGATTCTTGAATCCAGTCCTGTTATCCAAACATAAATACAATGAATTAATTTTCCTTTGATGTGAGTTGCAAGGAAAACTTCAAAAAATTTGATGGATATTTTTACCTGTACGTATATGAGAGTGTTCCAATCCTTCTCTAATGTAACATTGCATTGTAGAAGATTTTGTCTAGTTGGAGCAACATAAGGGTTCCCCTTCCAATAAGCATAAGGTACTCTATCCTTCCACTTAGTCTTTTTGTTCCCTTCTTTTATATCTTTTAGGGTATCTTTCCATGGTTTTATATTTGTCTCTGCCCTGTTACAAATAAGCAACTTTAGTTCCGTGTACAACAGAGTCGTCTTAACTTTTTGGAGGATTCTGTGTAAGTTAGTTACAGATAATTATGAAGAAAAAAAAAAAACAATTAAAGTTTCTATCTGTCACAAATATGTTAATAAACTCTATTTAACTATAATTTAATTATGACAAATTTTTGATCATGTGCAGTAGTCTTTCTTGCCTGTCCTCAAAGACGGTCGTATCTACAAGTTCAAGCAATAGTATTTATGACACTTACCATCCCCAAAAGGACCAATCTGGGAAGACAATATCCAAGCTCCATTGATCTGAACAATATCTAAACAATGGAGGCGGCGAAGCATTTGGGCCGTGAAACTTATCCAAAGGAACAACAGGTTTATCTTCGCAATCAAACATAAGTTCCAAATCAGGTAATTTCCCAGGAAACAACCTCAACATTTGCAAGATACCCCACAATGTAAAAACATCTCTGGTTTGAATAGCTTTCCTATACTTCTCCACATACACTTTCCCATTCACAATCACAAGCCTAAAATGTGCTGTCTTTTTTGCCCTTTCCAACATCTCTCTTGTGATCCCTTGTTCTCTCCATGGCTTTAGATCTTCATGAATCCATCTAAAATATGAGGGACAAACATGTCTACTTTGATTTGTTGGGTTATGTTTTGTAGGGTAGTTTGTAGGACATGTTTGTTTGAAAGATTTTCCTTTTATGCATCTGAGAAGAAAATCTTCTTGGTTTTGGAGTCTGTCTTTGTGGATGAATGGTATTGAAATACCTGCAAATATGTACTTTAAAAATAATTCTAATATCAGATTCTAATAAAGGAAAAAAAAAAAAGGGAGTTTCTATTATTTGCTATATACACATTATTTGATGTTTTAACAATTAATACAATTATTTAGTTTATATTCATACTTAATAATTGATAAATAAATAAAAAAGTTACTTGTGATGCATAAACTCACTCACAGTCCAAACGGCAAAGGCACAAAAAGAGGCTAATAAGCATGAAACTTTAACGTTGTTGGAGAACACAAACCGCTTCTGTTGACTAGAACCGCCGCAGAAGAGTTTAAGATATGTGTTGTTCATGCTTGAAGATGAATCGTTGTATAATTTGTTGGAGACATGAGAAACTCAAAAACAGAGAGAGTAAAGTAGGGGATAGAAGAACTATGGATGTAGTTGTACTACGAATATGATCCTGGTTTTGGTGTGTTTTTTTGGAATGTAGCTGATTGGTTAATTTAAATATAGGAGAAAGGTTAAATTAATGTATTTGGCTTTACTGATGTGATCTACAGCTGGACCACTTGTTAGTTTCTATATATATAAATTAATGATAGTCATAAAGTTAGGATTTTAGATAAAAGGAAAACTGAATATGTTGTAATCTAGTTGCCCTTTTCTTTCCCATTAAAATCTCTGTAGTTGTGTTAGGGTTGAGAAATTCACACTATAAACAATATATTAATTAATATATAACGGCGTAATTTTGAAGAGGAAGAAGGGGGTAGTTATTAATTTACTAATTAAGAGGGAGAATAGGCGGCCATTAAAATCTTTGTTGTTGTGTTAGGGTTGAGAAATTGACACTATAAACAATATATTAATTAATATATAACGGCATCATTTTGAAGAGGAAGAAGAGAGTAGTTATTAATTTACTAATTAAGAAGGAGAATAGGCGGCCATTAAAATCTTTGTCGTTGTGTTAGGGTTGAGAAATTGACACTATAAACAATATATTAATTAATATATAACGGCATCATTTTGAAGAGGAAGAAGGGAGTAGTTATTAATTTACTAATTAAGAAGGAGAATAGGCTGCCATTAAAATCTTTGTCGTTGTGTTAGAGTTGAGAAATTGACACTACAAACAATATATTAATTAATATATAACGGCATCATTTTGAAGAGGAAGAAGGGGGTAGTTATTAATTTACTAATTAAGAGGGAGAATAGGCGGCCTTGAGCTTCACGTAATTAAATTGAGTTTGTTTTAAAAATTAGTATTAATCTCACTTATTGGTTATTAAAAATTTAATTCAAGTTTGAATTTGGTCTAGCATTGTCTATTTACGTGTTTAAAAATTTATTTTAGAAAAAAATTCTTTCGAGTTACTCTTTAAAAAGTTAATAGAAAAATCAAAATTAACGATGGTGAATCTAAATCAAATGTTTATGGAGCTTTGGTCTAAGATAAGACAACGGGATGCCACTTGTTGAAAATAACAAGTGAGAATAGTATGAATAAATATTATATTGGTTAAAAATGTGAAAATTTAAGTATTTATAAATTAAAGAACTTACTCATTATCACCTTAAGAGTGTATTTAGATTAGGTAATTGAGAATTTTTAAAAAATTTAAAATTCTAAACAAATCAAATGATTCAATTGAAAATCATTTATTTTTAAATTCATTTATTTTAATAAAGTATTAAAATGATTTATTGTTAAAAATTTAGGGTCAAAGTTTTGAATCAAATTTATAATATGAAAAATAGAGATCAATTTGCAATTTTTAAAAATTTAGAGGGACTAATTTGTAAATGTTGAAAATTATTAGAGACTTATTTGTAATTTTTTGAAAATTTTAAGGGTGAATTTGAAAAGTTAATAATAAACAATTTAACATTTGCTTTAAGAAGATCCTAAAGTCCCACATTGGTTGGAGATAGAACATTGAAATAGTTTATATAGAGTGACATCCTTTACCTTACCAATCGATTATGTAAAGTTGTGTTAGATCAAACTCTAATAATATAATATAGAATGAAGAAATAATTTCAATTTCTTCATTTTTTAATATCTTTTGAAATTCTTTAAATTTAATTTGAATAAAATAATTTATAAATTTACATCATTTTAACAATTCTCTATTTTTTTTATCCAAATAATAGATTTTGGTCAAATTATTTTAAATTTCCTCAAAAAAAATTACTTTCTCTTATTAAAATGTTTCATCCAAACACATTCTAAAGTTTTTGGTGAATATGTAATATATCTGTCACAAAGATGTCTTGTTCTTAAAGAAAAGCTCTAACACAAAGATGTATTGCTCTTAAAGAAAAGCTCTAAGATGTAAAATGCACCCCCTGGATTAACCGAACATCACCTCTCTTGGAAAGGTTTTTTTTTTTAAAAAATTCTTTCTCCTTGCTTGAATATGTTCTCAAACTATTTCCTTAGACAAAAGATTTTGTTCCATCTACTCAGAAACAAACCTCTGCTCAAGTTTAGATAAAAATGTATGGTTTATTCCAAGAATATTGGAGACCTCGCATTATTTTTTGCTATAGCTAGCAGTGTTGGAACACCTATTTGCATAGTTTCATCCTTCATTAAGTCATTCTTTGAAAGACCTTTTGGACATTTTGTTAGAGTCCTAGGGGATTTGAATTTAACAAAGGAAATTAGCTACAAAGTTCTAGTGGAAAGAGTGGGGTTTGCGTTCTTCTTGGACATTGAGTACGAAAAGGCCCTGAAGTTTTGTTCCTTGTGTTTTTGTATTGACCATTCCCTAACCAACTACTGGGGAAAAGATTAATCTAAAAATAGGGATAAGGATCTTGTTCAGAAATCGACTAAACCTACTTATACTCCTGTTGGAAAGAAAATATCACTGGGGATGGAAGTAGCAAGGATTTCGAATAGACAGACAAGAAAACTTGGAGGAAGAACCAAAGTTCGATCCGAAAGATGACATTATTGAAGATTCAATTAGTGATAACCATAGAGTCACTATCCAAACTACAGATTCTGAGGGAAGCATTGATAGTGAATTTGTAGATGCTACTCAAGTTGTGGAAATAGTCCCTAAAACTCAGGCTATCGTGGAATTTCATAAGGAACAAATGGAAATTTTTGGAAAAATCTTGGGCAAATATGGTTGAATATGCTAATGATGAGGACCTTGGAATTGATTGTATTCCTCAAAATGAGTTTCAGATGGTTATTTCAAAAAGAGGGAACATAAAGTCCAAATCTAACACAAAAACTAGACTAAAGTTTATTAAACCTAATGCTACCTTATGAAGAGCCTCTTCTGGAATATTAGAGGTGTAGCTAAAAGCTCTTCTAGACTTGCTATGAAAAAACTGATTGATTCCAACAATCATGATCTGGTTTTCATTGTTGAACCTTAGATGAACTACTCTAATTTCCCTCAAAACTGGTTCAATCATCTCAATATCAAGCTTTTTGCTTTTAACCAAAGAGTTGGTTTGTTGCAAAATCTCTGGTGTTTGTTAAGTATTAACAAGTGTGAGTAGTGTGGATAATAGTCCCACATTGGATAGAAATATGGTGACTTGAGCATTTATAAGTGAGAGAACCCATACACCTATCACATTAAGGTGAGTATGTGGTGTGTCTCTCACAAAGGTGTTGCTATAGAAAGGAAAAGTCCCACAATGTTCAATGCTCCCTAGTTGAAAAAACCTAACAATGGTATCAGAGTCTGGTTCGAGTAAAGGGAACGACTTACTTGTATCCAAAGTATCCCCATAGGTCGTGGGTTGAGTGTCTCGTTGAAGAGTGTCAACGACGGTACAAGGGTGCAGTTGCACAGTTAAAGTTTCCCCTTAAGGGGAGCATTGTGGATAGACTCATACTTGAGGAAGAGTGTTCATTATTAACAAGTGTGAGTAGTGTGGATAATAGTCCCACATTGGATAGAAATGTGGTGACTTGAGCATTTATAAGTGATAGAACCCATACACCTATCACCTTAAGGTTTTGGGTGAGTATGTGGTGTGTCTCTCACAAAGGTGTTGCTCTAGAAAGGAAAAGTCCCACAATGTTCAATGCTCCGTAGTTGAAAAAACCTAACAGTGTTTGTGTAAACCTGACCTTGACCCTTTGGTTGTCATGTCAGATGATCAACATGTTTCTTTTACTTTGAATATGCATAACATTACCATGGGATTTTATGTCATCTATGCTTCAACATCTTACTTGCATATAAGACATTTATACCATAATCTTTTCACTCATACCCCTAACACTCTGGCTAGAACTCCTATGAATGATTTCTTTAATTGGTCTAACTCTAATCATTATATCCATCTTCCCACTATTAGCAATAAATTCACTTAGAATAATGGTAGAAAGGGAGACATCTTAATGAGAAAAGACTTGATAGAGTTCTTTGTAATGTGGATTGGTCGGATACTTGTTCTAATATGGTTTGCAATACCTTACCTAAAATGAAACCTGATCATTATCCTATTTTACTAACTTGTGATTTTGATGATGTTAAATTAAAGTCTCAATTTAAATTTATGAAAATGTGGTCCAACAATGATGCTTACTTTGATGTTAGAAAGCAATCTTGGATGACCAAAGTTTATGATTTTCCTATATAAATTATTGATAGGAAGCTTAGAATTCTTAAAGCTAACTTAAAAATTTGGAACAAGACTCGGTTTGGGAATGTCAAAACTAAGGGTTTAGAAGATGAGAAAAACCTTACTGATATTCAGACTGACATTGATTCTCCTGGTCAAAATGACCATATGCAGGCTAAAGAATTAAAAGCTCGGAGTGATCTTAAAGTGGCCTTCAATCTAGAGGAATTTTGGAAAGAGACGTCTAGATTAAACAAGCAGATCTATGGGGATAGAAACACTAAGTTCGTTCATTCTTATGCTAGAATTAGAAGAAAACCTAACTTGATCTCTGCTTTGAACATTAATGATAATGTGGTCACAGGTAGAAGTACTCTTGAGAATCATTTCAAAAATTTATTTAACCAAAATGTTTCTGTGCAGGACTATAGCATGGTGCATGAGAACATACCTAAGCTCGTGAATGAGGATACAAACATTATGCTCACTATCGTTCCTTCTGCTAATGATGTTCATAAGACAGCTATGAAGCTCAAGAGTGATTCTATTCTTGAACCTGATGTGTTTGGGGCTTTCTTTTACCAACACTATTGGAAAATATTAAAATAGATGTCATAAATATTGTTACTTAATTTTTCTTCCAAGATTGAGTTCTTCTCACTATAATGCTAATACTATAGTCCTTGTCCCTAAATCCAATGAGGCTGACAGGTTAAATCATTTTAGACCTATTATTCTAG